TGTACTCTCATACCAGAATTCTTTTGGTTCCTGCCCGACCAAGAAAACAGAGAGCTACCAGAGAGGTTGAGGAAAAAGGTCTCAGTAGTTTTGAGGATGGACTTAGAAGAGTTTTATCCTCCAAAGGAAGGAGAGTGTTGAGTGTTTGTAGAGTGCATTTGGGGATCAAATAGCCACAGACCAAGACAGTGGAGCACAGAACTCTGAGTTGATGAAATCTGGGATCTCAGGAGATCATAAGTGGGTCAACCTTCCAAGTTATGCTTTTTGTAGCCCCTTCGTGGAATCCTGGCAAACCTCATTTCCACCTGGAGTCCTCCACAATTGATCCTGTTTTTCAGAGTACCATAACTTCTCTGATATAAGTGGGAGGATCCACAGGACAGCAGTAAGGAGGCCTCTTTTCTATTCAGGGGTTGCTCTGTATCATCCACACCTTTGCAGGCCGTCAGCTGAGATCCAGAAGCCTGGGGACAGCCTGGCATCCAGGAAGCTCCTAGGCATATATTTGTGGAATGAATGAATGAATGAGTGAGAGAGTGAATTTGTATTTGGCAGTATGCATTTCCTCTTATACATCCAGTTGGATCAGTAATGTTAAACAACTAACAGTGATGGGTTCCAATATCAGAAGAAATGTTACTTGATCCCATTTTTATTGTTTGGACTTGGATTCACTATTTGGACCATTTTGGGTGTTATCACCTGCATTCAAAGGATAGAGAGTTGAAGGACCTCAGTTCTTAAAACACACAGACCCTGCAAGAAGAGGTCATTTAGATCTCTTGTTCATGGCCAGCTTTTCCCACAAGTTTCCTGCAGGAGTATATCAAGATTTTGTCATATTTCTGATAGCTTCAATAGTTTGCCAGCCCATTTAGTTATAGATGGTAATTCAGGAAGCTCAGAGATTTAAATGCTGTGCATAATTTTTGGCCTCTTGCCCAAGATCTCCAAATTTAAATTATTACAATAGTTTTTAAGAAAAGCTGGTTCCAGCAGTAGAAGGACTGACATTTTTGGGCAGGTGCCACTTTCATGGCATGATATGAGACCACAGATAAGACTGAAGGAAGTGGAAGAGGTTCAGATTGGTGTCTAGGTATTCCAGAGAGTCGCTGACTGCTCCCAGAGCGTTTCTTGGCAGTTCATTTTGTTAAAGAGTGGAGCAGGGTGGAGTCACTGAAGTCTGTAGGAGAAAGGAAAGTTGAGGATTGTAGGCATGAGGAAAAGGACCATCAGAAAGGGTGAAAGAAAGGCTGAAGAACTCTGAAATGAGCTTTATCAAGTTCATGTCAGTATTTTGCTGACTGTAGCTTTTTTGTGATTGGGCAAATTTAGTTTTGGGTCTAGTTGGTAGAGGATAAATCCAGAAGAGACTTCAGAACAGATTTTTCTCCAACAGAACTGGAGATCTGCATTTCCATAAGAATCACACCCAAACCTTAAGGAGTCTCCAACTCATTAAGGAGGAAATCTCTCCAATTCTCTGTCACTTTCCTCATTGCTGAGACACAATACCTGCCACCTGCAACTTAAAGAACGGTTTACTTTGGCTCATGTTTTAGTCCATGGTTGGCATAGGAACATGGTAGAGGAGAGGCGGCTTACCTCACAGTGGGGCACAAACAGAGCTAAGGGGAGCCCAGAAGGGAGGTGCGCCCCATCAAGTCACAGCCCTGCGGGCCTCCCTTCCAACAAACCCTGCCTTCTGCAGCAAGTCAGCGACGTCGCCCCCAGAATCCAATGGCCTTTCAAAAGTCTCACCTTCTGGCACACGAGGTTTTGGGGACATCCAGATATAGATCGTAACACTGTGCACTGGGGGAGAGGTTTATCTGGGTAGAGGGGACTCCCCAGCCAGAGGATTTTCCTGCTTTTATTAAAGTTTCCATTTATAGATACAGAACATCTTCAGTTAAGTCATCCTTTCTTGGTATTATTTCAAGATCTGGTCTATACTTGCTGTGCTCATTCTTTTCTTCTTCTTCTTCCTCTTCCTCTTTCTTCTCCTCTTCCTTTAGGAGTACTGAGGATTGCTTTTCACTGAGCTAAATTCTCATCTCACCTCTCTCTCTCTCTCTCTCTCTCTCTCTCTCTCTCTCTTTCACAGTACTGGGAATTGAACTCAGCGCTGTCCCATTGAGCTACATCCCCAGCTGTTTTTACTTTTTTTTTATTCTGAGGGAGAGTCTTGCTAAATAATTAAGTTTCCCAGGCTGGGCTTAAATTGGTATCCTCCTGCCTCAGTCTCCCAGAGTGCTGGGACTATGGGTATGTGCTGCCACACTCTGCTCATGCCAATTCTTCTTGACCCAGGGATATCAACATTTTAGTAGGCAGAGGACCTGCTGAATGAGGGCTTGCTAGGCAGCACTTTCTCCACCGTGCCTCCTCTACTCACTTGACCTGGAAGTGATGTTGCTTATCTGACCTGTGGTAGGGTTTCTACCAGTCAGATGGTCTTTAGTATTTTCTTGTTTGGTAATATGAGAGAAACATCTTTATTAGGTTGTAAACTTCTTGAAGATGAGTATCATGCTACCATTTATTGTATTTTCCATGGCACACAGTATATATTAAGTTGGATATGCAAGGAATGTAATAAATGTTTAGGAAGATGGGTCAAACATAGCCTTTTAAACAGAAAATACAGAAGAAATGTCAAAGTGTTTTATGTATATACTGGTTCAAGTAACTGCAGGGTGTTTAGATATTTGCTTAACATCTCAACTTCTAATTTTGTGCTACATATGAAAGTTATTTTTAGTTCTGAATTTTTCTTTCTTTCTTTCTTTCTTTCTTTCTTTCTTTCTTCTTTCTCTTTCTCTCTCCCTTCCTCAATCCTTTCTCTGTCTTTCTTTTCCTTCCTTCCTCCCTTCCTTCCTTCCATCCTTCCTTCTTTCCTCTCTTCATCCCCTCTCTCTTCCTCTCTCCATCCTCCCCCTCTTCAAATAGGAGATTTTTAAAGAGGTGCAGCATCTTCTACCTAGTTGGTAACAGGTTCTAGGGTGTTGGGGCCTACTTATAGAGATTCTTTCTAGAATCTTCTTGTTTAGAACAAAGAATTGGACAAAATAAGTTCAAAACTCAGAGAGGTTTTACACTTATTAAAGATAGGAAAAGAAACGTTCTTTGGAGCGAGTGCAGGCCAATTAAAAGTAGGAAAAGAAGTGCACTCTACAGGGTAGGGTGGACCACAATGAAAGAAAGCACAGTGACCAAGAGCTTCATGGCCACCATCTTTTGTACCTCCCACTCCTCAGGCTGGTGTCGGGTCTACACAGTCCTATTAAAACCTGCTAGAGTCTCTTGGGAAGAACTGAAGACAGCACTGTCTGATTGGAATTGTTTCTCTCTGCATGGCCTGGCTACTCACTTGCCCAGCTGGCTGGCCACGCCCTAATCTCTTGCCTCACTGTCAGTAACAAAGCCAGGATGAGAACCTGATATCTGGTTTTGATGTTCTTTCTAATTAATCATTCCTTCATGCAGTTATTTATTGTGTACATTTATATAAGCCAGATGCTGCCT